ATCGTTTCGTACACCATTAACGACGTAGAAGACTAGACCGTGAACATTTTGAAATTGTATTAAGAATACAATATTTCGCTCTTGTTTGATGGAGAGTTGAGATTTTATTAAAAATGCGAGAGAAAAAAAGAAAAATTAAAATTTATTGTAATTTTACCCTTATTTGATGGAGATTAAAATCAAAATTTTAGTCAATTTTGATAAAAGTTAAATAGTTATGGATTACATGAAATATATTATTAAAATTAATTGTTAACTTTGATTTAAATATATATATATATATATATATATATAAAACTCAAAAGTTGGGGGACACGTGGACGGCCCATGCCAGTGTTGTATATTTGTAGTCTTATTTATCCCCTATATGGTGGAGATTAGATTTTTTGTAGATTTTGATAAAACAAAAATGATGAAATATATAATTGAAAAATCTTGGATCCCGAAAAATTTATAGCTATTAATTGTTGATTTTGACTTAAAAATTAATATGTGATTAAATTAATCAAATATTTGATAAAAGTTTCAACCACACATTTTACCCGCTAAACACGACTTTAATCACATATTTCACGGTTGAAAAATGATTTTATTTTCTGATTGGACCGAATTCTATTTTCTTGATATTTTGCTGTTTGATTTTGTAGATTGTAATTTTGTTTGGTTTTTCGAATGGAACTACTTTTTTATTTGTTTTAAATTTATTCATTTGGTTTTGTAGATTGATAAAATTAATTATCTTAAATAACAAAGTTGTGAATTTTATGTAATCACAAAATAGATGCAACGCCGGACGTGATTGATATACTGTATTAAATTAAGAATTTCGTTAAGATGAATTATAATACGACGTTAAGTGTTACATCTTATAAATATTAAAAATTTATTGTGGAGTCCATACTTATCAAGGTTTGCGATTTTTCTTGTAACACTTTTTTTCTCGTTAATAAATTACTGTAGTGGCGGACGAGTACGTAGATTCACATTCTGACAAACATCAATACATTTTGTGTTCTTTTATTTCTTTATTTTTTTACTATGATTTTATTGTTGTAATTGTATAGAATTAAATTATTTAATTGTCTAGAAAATTGTCCAATACGTAAGCATCCTTTTCTAATATTCAAGGTTAACACTTCAAAGATTCTCTATCTAATTGATTGAGATTGAGGGCCTACATACTCGACCAACAACATGGAAACCCGAATCCATAGTCTAAGGGGTGTTTGAATGAGTTATTCCTATCAAGATATATATAAAATTAATAATAAAAAATAAAAATAAACTGGTTACTTTATTACTTTACAATATTATAATAAATTAACTAAGTGTGCATACTAAAATAAGCTTCCAAACAAATTCAAAGTTGTTATAAAGTAGAACAATATATAGAACGAGGAATAAATATGAAAGAATAAAATAGGGAGTGAAAAGATTTACGTGAAATTTTTATTATAACGGTTGATCTATATTTATTGGATTGAAATAAGAGTTACAATTTTAATAGAATACACTTTTTAGAGTAAATAAGCCACCGTTTGAGCCACGTTAAATTTTTCATTCTCATTTTTCTACTCATTTTTAACAACACGTTATTCAATAAAATAATATTTTCCATCACATCAATAATTTTTCATTCTTTTTCTACCACACATTCTCCATCAATCTACTATTTCAAAATACATTCTTCCAAAATAATGTGGCTCAAACACACATTAAATTTTTTTAAAAATCAGCCGTTAAAAATGTGGGAATCGCGCGGTTCAACAACAAAATCCGACAAGTTTGGTGACACCCATAGTCATGCACCACTAGTAGTCGATTCGCCTCACCTAGGTGCTCCAATTCACGATGAGACATCACCCAAAATAGCTCATATTGATATAGGTCTGCCTTGGGAGCAAAATGAGGCAGTTATGTCTCCTTCAATTAATGAAACTTGAGCTCTTCTTTTCACCAAATTGGCAACCCAAAACCCCTCAGCAACGTCGAACGATGATGGGTATACCCTCAATTGATCCAATTGTGTCACAACATCTCCAAATTTAGCTTCAAATTCTACCCAATTCCACACACAAATGAGGTTCAAGTTTCTTCGATTTTTGTTGGATTTGATTTGATTTCTGGTTTTGATATTTGGGTGGTGACAGTTGATTAGGGAGTTGTGGGTGGTGGTGGCACCGACCTTTGTGCCCACCAATGTGGGTGGGAGTTGGAAAAAGGGGCGTCGACCATATGCCTTTCTAATTTTCATAAGGGTTGGGTGTAAATTTCTTTTTTTTTTTCTTGGTTCTTTAATTTAAGTTTTATGTTAAAAAAATGTAAAATTACCATTTTGTCCTTTTAAAATTAGTCAAAATTGTGGTCAACTAACGATCAAGTGGATGGTTTCCATTCATTTGGACATCTACTAAGAATATTATTTTATTAAATAGTGTATAGTTGAAAATAAGATAGAGAAAAATTTATTTTGGAAACAATAAGGATCAAACAAGAGTTTAGCTCATTTTCAACAGTTAATTTTATAGGATTCATAATTTTTATCATTTTTTTCAGTTGCATCTTTCATCAATTTTTATCAAAATTACTAAAACTCTCATTTTAGTAGAACCAAATATGGGCATAATATTTGGTGTGGCTAAGTAAGTTGCAACCCTTTTTAAGTTTCCAAAAAATTACAGAAGTGCAACCCATATAGGTTCCCGTTTAGCTATGGCAAAAACTTCCATTCTAAGAAAACATGAGTTCTTCAACAAATTGAAAATAATAATAATAATAATTTTAACCAACTAAAAACGTTAAAAATGATAGTGGGGCAGTAAACATGACGTACTGCTTCTCTGTCGAAGCCAGCTCTGTGCCTAATCCTAAGCCTCACATTTATTCTGGTCTAATAGAAGCCAACAAGGACATATCAACAAAAGAATTAGCATAAATCTACGGAATGGAGGGTACCGAATGGTATCCCCCTCTCACAATGCCAGCGGGCTCCATGTGTATTTAAAAAGAATAATGCTTTATGTACAATTCATGGTTGACAAGAAATTTGACAA